ACACACAGACAGTGAGTATACGTTCAATTCATCTGGTGAACCCTACTCAATCTCACAACAATTTAATCAACTAGAAATGGATCGGCTTCTGCGACCCGAACGCTTTGACACGGACCCAAACGCTTCCGATGCAGCGGAATCATGGGAACACTGATTTTTTACATTTTCAAACTTCTTGGTCATCATCAATTCATACAAACCTGACAAGCTAAAGACACTCTGTCATTGCCCATCACCAGCTTTGTAGAAAGTTATTTCTCGGTGTCCTTCGTTCGTACGGATCAGCACTCTCGAATCACTCTATGTACAACCAAAAAAGTTAGTGTTCACGCGTCATCTATTATCTACCTGCAAACAAGGGTTTACCAACAATCTCGAGCAGTTCATACAGAGATCTCGAGCACACGCCAGAGACTGTAATTTTAAATATGTGAGTATTGAACAGAACCAAGATGATGCCATCCGCGATGTGCTTATCAGTGGTTTAGTATCCAATTCTATAAGACAAAGACTGTTGGAGGATAAAACGCTAAAAATATAGACTGCCTTTGATCAAGCTAAGTCTTTAGACTTAGCTCAGAAACAGTCTCATTGCTTTGTGTCAACGGTTCCAACCGTGTCTTGAAACACCATAGCTGATGAATCTGATGCTCAGGAAATAACATGCACCGGTTCACCGTTGAATGCCACTTTAGCTACCGATCAAACAAAGTTGTCGGATAAAGGCTATTTTTGTACCTAAGATTGTCATCCTCGACACAAGTGTCCCGCTAAAAAATCAAACTGCAAGTCGTGTGGAAAAAGTGGACATTTTCAGAGAGTTTGTCGTTCTTCTACCCCCACAAAACATATTGCTTTTGCCTCACCGTTCGTGATTTCTTCTATCATCACCGCGGCTGCTCCCGCATGTCATGCGAAGGCTATCACAGATGTCACTGGCAACGGAATTAAGCTGAAGGCGCTAATCGACACAGGAAGCTCCGAGAGTTTTGACTATGAAACCGCTGCACAAAGACATTGTTGGGCAAAGCTGAAATCACACAGTGAAACTGTTCTGGATTCCACACAAGTTATTAGTCATTCGAAAGGAAACGGGTTTGCTTCTCTCGTACACAAAGGAGTGTACTACCTATATGTGAAATTTTCAATACTTCCGAATCTGTGCAATGACATTTTATTAGGACACGATTTCTTACAGTTACATACAAGTGTGGAAATACCTTTCTACGGTAATCGCCCTCGGTTCTCTTTATGTGGTCTTTCAGCCGCACAGCTACCTTCCCCTGCTCTGTTCGCCCATCTATCTCCTTCTTGTACTACAGTACGCACCAAATCCCAGAGGAATAATCTTGTAGACGAATATTTCATCCAACTTGAGATTCATAGGCTACTTAAAGAAGGCATAATTGAGTCTACGAAATCAACCTGGCGAGCACCAAGTCTTGTTACCATAAACAGACGCCAAAAGAAACGAGTGGCTATCGATTATAGCCAAACCATCAACAGTTTTACGGTACTGGATGCTTATCCTCTACCGCGTATGGATGACATGATCGAGGTATCTCATTTTGGGGTGTTCAGCACTCCTGATCTAGAGAGTGCCTGTCATCAAATCACTATGAAGGAAGACGAGAAGAAATATGGTTGGCGGCATCCGGTTTCGGATTTGCCTGTCACTGTGGCAAGCCACAGGACGCCTGCGCCCACAGAGGGACCATGGATGGCTTGCGCTGCACCACCCACAGGTCCAACCACATACCCCATATGCAGCGTAAACCCGAAGGAATAAGACCGGGAGGCATGCGGATGGGAACCACGTTTCATCAACGGAGCCGGCCCACACTCCTTCACAGGCAAACACAAGCACGCTGTATTTGGGGAATCAAGCGCACACAAGGCGGTGGCTGGATCGTAGTCCGCTCCACACTGAGTGCATGGAACCGCTCTTTGAGCCTAGCACGGCCACAAGAACCGTGCACCCCGTCCCCTCCAGCAACGACCAACTGTCTCCTGGAACCAGTATGAACGATGTAGTGGGTAATAGACAGGTAGGCACCTTGTCAACATACACATCAAGCGCAACCATACCAGGGATATCAAACAACAGCCATTCACTTTAAACGACAAGCTGAAATAAAACAAATCCAATAATGCATACAGATACGGTGGCATAATTCTTCGCTAAATTACCATATGAAGTAATTTGGTTAGCAACAAATCCGTGATAAGTAAGAAATGTCCACAAGTTACTTAAAATGCTACAAACGCAACAAAATTACCGAAGATAAGCGCAATTAGTGTAAGCAACGTGGCCAGTTAATAGAACATTATTCAGGGAGGCAGAACAAACCAAATAAAGCAGAATGAAATTTATCCAGCTTAAAAAGACCTAGTTTAAGTGTAAGTTGGTTTAGCCCAACTGCGGTGAAGAAGCATCAAGAATGCAACATCAGCCTCAGCATGGGGCACACGAGAAGAAATATACCGCATTTGAAACATGCAACAACTGGTGTCAGTTCTGCCGTATACCATTTGGGGTAACCAACGGCGTTGCATGCTTCCAAAGAACTACAGATGAACTGATTCGCTACGAAAATCTCAAGGGAACGTGCGTCTATGTCGATAATATTACTGTGTGTGACAAAGACTCTGCAGAAAATGATGAAAACCTTCAAAGCTACTTGCGCGCCGTCGAAAAGTGTGGAGTGACCCTAAACCGTAAAAAAATGCATATTTGCGGCCAAGGAAATTCGCCTGCTTGGGTACGAAGTTTCGTTGGGCACAGTGAAACTGGATCCTGATCGCTTTAAGCCGCTAGCAATGCTACCTCCGCCAATGGATCCCAAATCACAACGGAGAGTAATTGGGATGTTTGTCAACTACTCCCAGTGGTTCTCACATTCTTCGGACAAGATCCATCAGCTCGTTCATAATAGGATATTTCCACTGCCAAATAGTGTTTTGGACGCGTATGAGACATTATAGGTAGAACAAGTCAAAGCAACCGTGGTTGCTGTTGACAGAAACGTATCATTAGTAATTGAAACTGATGCATCTGATGTAGCTATTTCGGC